GTGAGACAGTCTATTTATCTCAGAGAGTAGACTCAGAGGGATATACTTTGACAGTGTCACTTAGTGAGTAAGTGGTAGAGACATGAACCTAGGTCTTTGTCTCTGTATGTCATATACAATACTTACAGGAAAAGATAAGGTACCAGAGTTATGGCTAGATCTTGGGTTGGTGATGGGTGACCATACCTGAGCTGATTTTGAGGGGCACTCCCCTACCCCGAGAGCAGCAGTACAGTTTAGAGATTAGGAGTTTGGACCAGGACTGGATTAGGATGAGGCAAACAAGGCCCAGAAGGTGAAGAATTTAAAGAGACATTCACTCTCAGGGTCGTGGCCATGGCTGGGACATTGGTGTCAGACTACCTGGGTTGTATCTTAGTTCTGTCTGCTATTAGTTGGTGATTGTGGGTAAGTTACCTAGCTTCTTTGTGCCCCTGTTTCCTTTTCTATAAAAAATGAGATAATAATGTTTGTCTCATGAGGTTATTGTGAAAAATGAGTGTGTAAAGTGCTTAGAAAGTATATAGTAAGAGCTCAAATAAATGTTTATTATTAGGCTAAGATGATGATACACGTCGGAATCATTTTGGAAACAGGTGATAAATTTTAGTTATATGTAATTTCAGGGACCTGGAAAAGATTACTGAAGTAAGGCTGCCAGATTAAATAGCTACTGTCTTGAGGAGAGGGAGTACTGTAAAAATCAGGAGGAGGAAGAATTCTTATTTTCTAAGGAAAATAACAATTTTCATATTTTTGGTTGTCTTCAGTAGTTAGTATGATTATTGCCACTAAAAACAGTGTTAAAATGTTTAGTATAAACAACTGATATTTACAAAATAGAATACTTTGATAAAATTGTATTAAAAGTGAAATTGAAGAGAAACTATAAACATTCAATTAATTTAAACTTTGTTATTTGATATGGTAAGCTTAATAGTAGTAAGTACTTGTATGGTGCTATTTTTATGTTCCTCACAGTGTCTAGAACAGTATTATGGCACTTGGTAAATACTGATTATCAATGGGCTACCACCTCCCAGTCTCCACCCCACCCCAAAGCAGGTGGAGGTGTGTGGGGCCATACTTGTTTGTCATAATGACTAGTGGACACCTTTGGCATTTAGGGGGCAGTAGCCAGGAATATTGCATCTATTACGTATTACATTTCCTGCATGACTGTCCTGTGACTGTCCTGTACAGTAAAGAATTGTTCTGCCCAAAATGCCAGTAGCATCCTTATAGAGAAGCACTAGTGTAGAAAAATAATAGGTGTAAAATGGCATGGCGGAGGCTTCTGACCTCCTCTAACTTCACTAGGAGAAAGGAAAATCAAGATCAGCAGCATAAGGCTGATTACTGTGAGGTAGAGGTAAGCCATATGTCCTCTCTCCAACCTTTTTACCAATTCTGACACCAACTGTCCCTCCCAGGGCACTCTCTATTTCTCTGCTGAGTTCGATAATTCATTGCAATGGCCACACAGAACTCACAGACAATACTCATGATTATGGGGTTTATTAGGGAAGTAACAGGTTATAATTCACGTTCAGGAACGCTCAGGATACAGTTCTTCCATCAGCACAGCCTCTTCTCAGCGCCACTCTCTGCCCTGCTTGGGCAAGTGTTACAGAGCTCTTTTAGCTCTGCCAGTAGGTGCTCAGAGGCACACCACTCGGCCAGTAAGCCTTGGCCCACAGGCGCTCAGCTCTAGCTCCATGGGTTGGCAAACATAGTTCCACCAAGTGCCCGGAGGCAGCCTTCTCTGCCAGCAAGCTTCCTGCCCGAAGGCTTGTTCTGTGGGCTGGGAGGCCATCTCCTGCTGGTCTCCTGTTTCTGTTGCCGGTGTTTCTCTGCCACTGCTTCTTGCTGTCTTTGGTGTTAGAGCTTGCTCGCTTTGTGCTCTCTCTGTCTTCTGGTTCCAGGAACTCCTTAGCACAGTGATCCTGGGTCCAAAAGACTCCATTCCTGGCTTTTCTTCCTTGATGTTGGTGAAGTCCTCTCCTCCTGTCCCTAGGATGTCTCATTTTAAGCCTAGTGGGATTACAAAACTGACCAATCCGTTTGTTAGGGTTCCATAGACTTTATTGGCATGGTCCCACCCCCACATGGTTGCCATGAACTTTATTTGCCGCATTAGCAAGCTGTCCAATCCCCTTGATGGGCCACAATTAGCTTATTTGTATAGTGGGTGGGAATTACAAGACCATGGCAAGCAAGGCCGTATAAAAGCGATCCATTGCACCATGATAGGGTTTTTTTTTTTTTTTTTTTTTTTTTGGTTTGTTTGTTTTGTTTTGCCTCTGTTCTTTGAAATTAATACTAAATGCCTGATAAGTTCTTAGTCTTTTTGTTATCTCCTGAATAAGACATAGTTTCTGTCCTGAAGGAGTTCATACTTTTGTAGAAAAGGTAGACTGTGTGGTAAGCACAATAGAAATATCGGTGAAGTACAGAGGCAGTTGAGTAGAGGGCTTGATTGCTTTTATTTGTGACTTTGACAACATTGTTTTGGAAATTGTGACTGGAAGACTGCCAGTCAGAAGGTACAGACATTATACATATATCCTATATTCAGGGAACTGCAAATAGTTTGGTATAGCTAGAAAATAAAGTGCAAGTTATAGTCACAGTTGGAGAGGTACCATATGCCATACTAAGAAACTTGGTCTTTTATAGTGTAAAAAAAATTATCTGTAATGCAGGTTACACTCTAGAGAGTCTGAGTTGGTAGGGGCACGATGGAGCCCGGGAGTCTTCTTTTGTAAATAAGCATTCTAGGTTGTTAGATATATATATCTAGTCTACAGATTACACTTTGCTGTGGGTCCAGTTTTGAAGCAGAAAATGACATCATATTTGTAAATTTTAGAAGTAAAATGCCGAACAGTGTATAGTCTTGACATTTGCTTTTTAACTTGATTACATTTACAAAGAAATTCTAAACTGATTTTTTATGATTCACTAATGACTTGCAATCTGTAGTTGGAAAACCATTAGTTTAGACTTGAGAGCAGTTCTCAAACTTTAGCATGCATCAGAATCACTGGGACATTTGTTAAAGCAGATTTTTGTGATCTGCCCCAAGAGTTGCTAATTCAGTAGGTCTGGAGAAGGGTCTGAGAATTAGTATTCTAACAAGTTTCCAGGATGCTGATGCTGTTGGCTCCAGGACTGTGTTTTGAGGACCACTGATTTGTAGAGGATAGATAGGAAGGAAATTTCCACTGGAATGTAGGTTCTGTGAAGACAAAGATTTTTGTCAGATTTGTTCACTCTCTGTTCTCAGTCCCTCTAACAGTGTCTGGCACAAAGGAGATATTCAAGGATTACTTATGGAATGTATGACTTACTGCAGGGAGTGCAGTGAGTCCAGCCCTTACACTCTGCAGTAATACTGGTGGGAGGAGAGGACTTGAACTAGGGCAGTAGTAGAGATAGATTGAAAAAATGCTTTGGAAGGGGAATTGACAATAATGATGGCATGTTGGGGGTGGATTCGGACTCCTGTTGTGTTGATTTGGGAGGCTAGGGGAATAGTGGTACCCAGCACCGAGCAGCACATAATATGTATTCATTAACATTTGCCATTATCATGGAGGTTGTTAAATTGAAGTGGTGGCTTTCTAATTGAGGATGATAAAAGTGAAGCATTAAATTTAGAAAATTATGGTTTGAAAAACTTTCTTAAACAAAGCATTAATTACTTTCCTCCTTGATTTTTGGCTGATAAGAAGCTAAGTTTGTTTTGGAAGGGGGAAAGAGATATAGAAAGTTAAGGTGATAGCAAAGTATTTTTATACATTTTTTTTTGCAGCCTTACTGTATAATACATTAGTCATAATGTGTTTTATTCATCGTTGAAGTGTGCCTGTTTTGTACTGTGTTCTGTGCTAGGTGCCACTTTACATAGATGAATCAGATAAAACTTGGGTTCTCAAAAAGTAGTGCTTTGCTACCACTGGAAGAAGCTAGCCATTTTTAGTCTGGGATTTGCACTGGGAGAATTCTGGGAGAATACAAAGTATGTGTGGGTTTGCATGCGTGGGTGTGCACATGTACATACAGTACATACAGGCATGCACACACAGCCCTTATTGGTAAATCTTTGTGTATAAAATGATGAAGTTTCATTTGTATTTTCAAGAAGCACTTTATGACTTTCTTGGGCAATTTTCTCACAGAGTCAAGGCTCTAGATTCGACCCTAAACCTGGTAGAGAGGAAGTGCATTAGGGAGAAGGATGGAATAGTTGCAGATATGTTCTTATCCTTCTTCCCTTTGTCTGCTTCTGATTTTTTTCCATCATAGAACCTATCTTAGGGGTGACATGAGAAAATGGAGGTGATTAAGCAGTAAAGGATTGCCAATCCTTGCCATGATGAAAGAGGGAGGAAAATTTCAGGAAATGTGGAAGGCTGGAAAAAACCTTCAGACATTGCTGTTTCTTATTCCTATGTAGGATTGAACACATGAAAAGTTAGGCTTATCTAACTGGAGGACTGCCTCTATAATGTTCCTCATTGTTCTAATCAAGAAAAGATGAATTTCTGTTCGTATATGTTACTTAAAAGGCAAAAAACTTTGTATTAAGGAAGGATTTCCATAAAAGTAGTTTCATAAAGGTTTTCATGTTAAAAGGATAATCTTTGATTACTTAAAAAAATATGTCTGTGAAAGTCTTTGCTAAATAATGCCTTATAGTTAAGAAATTACTATAGAAAATTTGTAGAAGATATAAAACCAAGCAAATAAAAAATTTTTTTCAGAACTCTAACAAAATGAGGTGTGTAGTACTTTAAAAATTCATTTTCATTATTGTTTACACTTGGATAAGAATTAGAAGAGATTGATTTTGTAGCTGGACTGGTTTTGAAAATGGAATAATTTTATAAACATAAAGACTAATAATAAGCAAAATATGTTTTGTCCTATGTCAGTATGTCTGGAATTGTCTTCTCTGACTTTCACTTAGAAATATTTAATGTCCTTTCCCTTAGTTATGGGAGAATAAGCTCATGCAGTCGAGGGCAGTAGATGGATTTCATTCAGAAGAGCAGCAGCTTTTATTGCAAGTTCAGCAGCAGCATCAACCCCAGCAGCAGCAGCACCACCACCACCATCATCATCAGCAAGCTCAGCCACAGCAGACGGTACCGCAGCAAACACAGACCCAGCAGGTCCTTATTCCTGCGTCACAACAAGGTGAGACTGGATTTGTTTTCCTGCTTACAACGTGGAAATGAAATTTGTCCTTTTGAAAGAAGAGAAATATTCTGGCTTTCTTGGATCTTGTTTTTAAGAGGTGCTTTGTAAACCTTAAAAAAAAGCATTGATTTTGTTCCCCTTTTGATTGCCAAAATATGTGTGTGTGTGTGTGTGTGTGGGTAGGTAGGTAGGTAGAGCTATAAAATGTGGATCCTATTGATGAATTTTTAGTTTTTTATATAGTAATGTTAGAGAAGTAATTCATGAATTGAAAGCCTAAGATGACGTTCAGATAAGTTGTCTTAATATTTTCTTTTGAGAAGGCTATATAGAGGATTTCCTAAAATAAATTGGATCTACAAAGGTTTAATTTGTGAAGGTTTCATTATTGTATATTGTAAAATAGTGATCTGTCCTGCTTTATGAAACTGGTGTATTCCTTCAAAAAAATGTTTGAGTTTAGTTTTTGTAAATACATCTTAAAAACTGGAAGATGCAGTCTGAACACTCAATCCTATAGTAATTTATGTAAGTCCAATTTGACTGAATCATGTTTCTTTGAAGTGAAGAGGGAGTATATATGTATTTTAATTTTTGTATAATTTGATTTATGGATAAGAAAAGACTATAGACTGTATCCGTAGTGCTTTGTACTATGCAAAACATTTTATAAATGTTTCATTGAAGCCTTAGAGAGGCTTTGTGAAGTAGCTCTTAACTCCATTTTACAGCTGAGAAAAATCTGGGATATGAAAAGTGTAAGAAACTGTACCCATTATTTGTAGCAAATATTTTCTTTCATGACAAACATTCATTCAGTTATAAAACTTACTGGGCCTTCTCTAATTCAGTACATCTTTTGAATGTTTATTGAAAAGGAGAATGAAGGTAAATGAAAAATTTACTTTAAGGCAACCATTTAGTTACCTCTCTCATCTGGGAGTACATGTAAGACTTAAAATTGATAGTGAAAGGACAGTAGAAGGTCTATTTAAGTTATTTTACTGTTTACATCAGGTAAGACTTTTAATGTCTGATTTTAGTCTATACCTTGCTTTAAGTAATATTATTCTTTTAGTTTATTTTGATGACTGTTCCTCCTTTTGCCTTCAGACCTGGCACTTGGATTTTAGGTCATCATAAATTAAAATTTGATTTTCCTCACTCAGAGAATATCAGGATAATGGGATTATCTGTCTGTTCTCTGAAATTTGCGGAATCAAACAGTTCTTTTTACACTTATGTAGGATTGCTGTTATTTCTGATTTGTGTTTTTTAAAGTTTATGAAAGTAACTTGTGATTATGGGAACTATCAATCAGGAGAAAAGGACTACGTAGATTTTAAAAAAGTAGAATTTATCCCCTAAATTTTCTGTTGTTGTTGTTGAGAATATTCACAGCAAAACATATACCAATTCAGCAGTTTCTACGTGTACAGTTTAGTGACGTTGATTACGTTCTTTGAGTTGTGCAACCATTCTCACCCTCCTTTTCTGAATTATTCCTCCCTCATTAACGTAAAATCACTGTCCCCTAAGGTTCCTATCTAGTCTTTAGAGTTGCTGTTGTCAGTTTGATCCCGTATGGATAGTTCTTAAAAGAGCATAATGCTCAAGGCAGATCTTTTTCAGTAGTTAAGCTAAACTATTGTTCAATTTTAAGATGACTTCAGGGGATATTTTTGGTTTAAGGTTTAAAGATTATCTCAGGGCAGTAGTTTCAGGGGTACCTCCACCCTCCATGGCTCCAGAAAGTCTAGAGTCCATGAGAATTTGAAGTTCTGTTCTACATTTTCTCTCTTTTGATCAGAATTATTCTATGGAATCTTTGATCAAAATGTTCAATAATGGTAGCCAGGCACCATCCAGTTCTTCTGATCTCATGGCAAAGGAGGCATTTGTTCATGGAGGCAATTAGCCACACATTCCATAGCCTCCTTCCATTCCTGACTCTCCTTTGTCTGTTGCTCTAGGTGAATAGAGAACAATTGTTGTGCCTTGGGTGACTGCTTGCAAGGGTTTAAGACCCCAGACACTATGCAGTGAACTAGGAGGTAGAACAGAAGCACTAAACACATTATTAGGCCAGTTAACTGGGGTGTCCCATGAAACCATGACCCTAAACCTCCAAACCAAGGAACCAAATCCCATGAGGTGTTTGGTTGTACATAAGTGTACATAAGCAGCCTCAGCAGCTATTCTTTTTTTTTTTTTTTGTGATTGTTGTAAATATATCTATAATAACAACTTTAGCCAATTCAACTAAAAAGCAGAATATTTTTTAAGCTCACTGTTAATGGATTAGCAACTCCTCTCAGTAATGGTATGATTGTATCAGTAAAACAGTTAATGCTGAGTTAGCAAGATTAAATTATGTTTGAAAATATCTAGTTGATTTAAGAAATCACAGAAATGCATATGTTTAGGTGTTACAGTCCTACAGTGTAGAGAATGAATCTTACTGCTTCATATTTCTGAGTTCCCTGGCATCCTTAGTATTGTCACTCATATCTTTTCTCAGTTGATGTTTTCCAGTATATAGTGAATATATCACAGCTGTTATTTGCCATAGACGCTTGAAATGTTCTAAGGTATCAAATGGTTCAGTACATTTGAATGCAGAAAATGTGGAAAACATGAAAAAAGAAGTATTGTGTAGCTTTTCTGTGATTATGAAATAGCCTCCTCATTCCTTGTTTGCATGTCTGCTTGTGTTTTTTTTTGTAGCCACAGCACCACAAGTTATTGTTCCTGATTCTAAGCTAATACAACATATGAATGCATCAAACATGGTAAGATTCAGAACTGAGCACTTTGACTATGCTTATTTTAACTCAAATTGTGATTATGCTTAGGTATGTTGTATATTAACAACATGAAGTTTATTGAAGATGTGAGCAAAAGCAGCATTTTTATTAGTTTCCTAGATACTGGATTGAGCAGCAGATCTAAAGTTTAGCTTGAGATTTAGACATTGAAGTCAATAAAATTAAACAATTCTTCTGTTGAGAATACCAAGAGATTTTGATGCTTTGTAGGAGCCATTTCATCCTCTGCTGTGTTTGGAAAATGGTGAGGGGGACCTGCCAAACCAGTTATGCCAAGTATAGTTCTTTTTTTAGAAGATCCACTAATTTTAAGAGGTCAGTAAGGCTAAGAATTAATAGCTGTTTGAAAGTGAAAACAAACTGGATAGATCAAGATGACTATTTTTAAGATTCAAACTTCAAAAAACTTTTGCTGTGATTTCACTATAGTATAGCCTGATAAGATTTATTATAATATGTAAAAGGTGTACGTTAGGCTTTTGATATTTCTGAGAGATTTCACAAGTCCTCCGATTTTCAAATATCACTTAGAGTATATATCTCCCATCAGATGTAGTAAAGAATAACTAAAATTGAAAGAAACCCATCTTTTTTAAAATAAGACATTAAAACAAAGTCTGATTAGAGTAGTTGTTCCAGCAGTTTCTAAAAAATGGTTTTTCTTTATTCTGTTTAAAATACAGAGACTATTAATGTCTCTAAAATCTCTTGACGTTTCATTCTTAAATTTAGACAAAACTTAAAGCTAACAATCATTATTTTTAGAAATATCTCATAGCCTATGTAAATAGTGCTTACAAGGAGTTTTTTCCCTAGTTCCAGATTTTTTTGTTAAAAAAAAAAAAAAAAATCACTTCTATGTGAGTAATGAGTTGTGAACCACAAAGCTCACCTGTAATTTTTAAAGCAGATAAGAAAGCAGGGCTCACCAGCTACACAAATGACTTCTTCCACATGTACCAGCTGCAAAAATTCATACCTTGGCAGAATTCCAAATTTCTACATGGTCTTTGGAATTGCTAGGGAATAATGGAAATGTAATTTTGAAATTCACAAGTATCAAAGATTTCTATTTCTACTTCTAGTTGAAGTTATGGGAATCAATTCTTTTGCATGAATATCACAAAATCCCCTTCCTGTCATTTCTCAAAATAATTTTTATTATTTGAAACATTTCCATTTCAAGTCTGAGGCCTAAAATTTCTTTTTAATCCTTATCCTTTAAAAAAAAAAAGCCTTGCCTTAGGATCCCTACTTCAGTTGGTGTTATTAAAACTGTTTCCCAAGGAGTAACACATCATTTTAAAACAAGTTTTGGTAGAATCACCAGCAGCGGGCCCATCTAATTTTGAACAGTTTTAAATATCTGAATAGCAATTGTGATTAAAGAGACAGGGGCAACATCAGTGGCCTATCTCTGATTAGGTCTCACTGATTCTAAGTTGCTGGTGAGTAGATTCTGATTCATGGCAACTCCATGTGTCGGAGTAGAACTGTGCTTCATAGGGTTTTTAGTAGCTGATTTTTCAAAGTAGATCGCCAGGTCTTTTTTTCTGAGGTGCCTCTGGGTAGACTCAAACTGCCAACCTTTTGGTTAGCAGCTGAGCGTATTAACGGTTTGCACCACCCAGGGACTCCCATTGATTCTAAAGAACAACATATTTAAACAGATCATAGGCCAGAGACTTCAATCAGTAAAATGGATTAGCATGTATGTATATTTTAACATTTTACTGTGATGTTTTCAGTGTTTGCTCCATGTATTTCACATGTTGTGAAACATAATCAGGATAGACTCTTTTCCAGGAAAATTTTTTTGTTGTTTGTTTGCATTCTTCCTGATTCATAGAAATTCATTAAAAATAGTTTTTGATTTTGCTGGTGGTTCTGTATGCTTTGGAAATGAACATATTGAAAACTTAAGTAATTTTATGAAAATGTGAGATCCCCATTACTCTCAAGTCAATTCCAACTCATAGCAACCCTGTAGGACAGAGTAGAACCTACCGCCTAAGGTTTCCAAGGCTGTAATCTTTATATGAGCAGACTGCCACGTTCATTCTCTCATGGAGCGGCTGATGGGTTCTAACTGCCAACATTTTGGTTAGCAGCTGAGCACTTTAATGACTGTGCAAAATGTGAGATGGTGATAATGTCAGATAGAAGGCTATTTCAGGGAATTTATAAAACAAGAAAGGATCCCTAGTGGCGCAGTGGTTAAGTGCAAGGCTACTAACTGGAAGGTAGGCAATTCAAACCCAGCAACTGCTCCATGGGAGAAAGATGTGGCAGTCTGCTTCTGTGGGCCAATTCTACTCTGTCCTATAGAGTTGCTATGAGTTGGAATCGACTCAGTGGCAATGGGTAAAAAACAGGACCTTATCAAACCAGTTTTGCAGGTTCTCTTTATGAAATGATTTGTCTAATTTATTATTCATGTTTGGGTTATTTCATAAAATACAAGGAAAAAATTTCAATAGTCATTAAAGTGTGTTGAGTGTATGGTACATCACTCAACAAATATTTATTGAGCAACGTGGATGTGCAGAAGGTGTACAGGTGGTTATTGTGACATCTATTTCCTGTACATCCATGGGGGAAGGACCTGGTGATCTGCTTCAGGGAGCCAAGAAAACCTTGTGAGGCAGTTCTGCTCTGTCACCATGGGGTCACTGTGCGTTGAAGTTGACTCGACAGCGCCTAACGACAACAATGCTCTATAGAAACTGCTATGTCATTTTGCCAGCAGAGGGGCATCTGTTATCTTATAAAATAAGAGTTATAGGCAGTTGATATTCCTAAATAATATTTCTCAGTAGGAAGTGACTGTCAAGATGTTCCTTAAACTTAAGTTACGTTTCGTATGCCTATGTTGACAAGATTTATTTTACATTGGATGATTAAGTATCCAATTTAAAGATGGATAGATCTGGTAGACTGTAACTGAATTCTGGAGGCATAGTGGATATTTCAAGCTAAAGATGTAGGAATTACTTAAGCCTTTCAGGTGGCTCCAAGAAGCGTATATTCTTGGAAAGCTATACCTAGCCCCCAGACCAGATAGTCGTTGCGTCATTAACCCACTTAAGTATAATTTTCCAAGTTTTGTTGACTTCTCTGGCATTAGCATCTCCAAAGCACAGTTATTTTTCTTTCTGTACTCTTACCCAAACACTGGTGTTTCTAAAAATTTATAGGTTAGATAGAGTATATAAACAGTTGATTGGAGAGTTAAACGAGAGAAAAAAGGAGTGGGGGAAAACTACCTAAATATAGTTATGTAGTGAGATACATGGAAATACGTAGAGCACAGGATTAAAAAATAGTATATAAGAGAGGTGTAATTCTTTTGGAGGGAGGGTAAGGGAAGGAGAAGTCTCCAGAAATAGTAGATTAGGAATGTATCTGTCATGGATTGAATTGTGTCCCCCAGAAATAATCTTGTCAGCTTGTGTGATTGTCCACCATTTTGTCATCTGATGTAATTTTCCTTTGTGTCGTAAATCCTAATCTCTGCCTGTGGTTAATGAGGCAGGATTAGATTATGTTAAAAAGGATTAGGGTGGGATGCAACACCCTTACTCAGGTCACATCCCTGATCCAGTATAAAGGGAGTTTTGCTGGGATGTGGCCTGCATCACCTTTTATCTTACAAAAGATGAAAGGAAAGCTAGCAGAGAGAGTTGGGGACCTCATACCACCAAGAGAGAAACACCGGAAGCACAGCACATCCTTTGGACCCAGGGTCCCTGTGCAGAGAAGTTCCTAGTCCAGGGGAGGATTGATGACAAGGACCTTCCTCCAGAGACAGCAGAGAGAGAGAGCCTTCCTCTGGAGCTAATGCCCTGAATTTGGACTTCTAGCCTACTAGACTGTGAGAAAATAAATTTCTCTTTGTTGAAGCCATCCACTTGTGGTATTTCTGTTATAGCAGCACTAGATGACTAAGATAGTATCCTAGATACAAAGAAATTCAGAGCATAATCCCACTCATGTCTTCATAACTGTCAGATACAAGCTCCATTTTAAAATGTAGAAATAAAAGTTTGCAACTCAAGATTTTAAGGGTTTTTTGGTACTACTACAACTGTTTTAAATACGTTTCACTTAGAATATAATATCAATATTGTCGTTTTTTTATCTTTTTGGTACGGAATTTTAGAAGAATTGTCAGCTATACTCCCCAAGCTGTAACTTCTGATACAAGGTTTTCTATGAAGACCTATGGATTCTAGTATAAATTTAAAAAATTAAGAATTCTGAAATGAATATTTATACCTTTACCTCAGTTGCATTATTGGAAAACAAGGAATTGTGGGTAAGGAACAAAGAATGGGAAAAACAGAAAAAAACGCATTGCCTTCGAGTAGATTCTAACTCATAGTGACCCTATAGGACAGAGTACAACTGCCCCCACAGGGTTTCCAAGGAGCACCTCGTGGATTCGAACTGCCAACTTCTTGGTTAACAGCTAACACTTAACCGCTGTGCCACCAGGGTTTCCAAAGAATGGGAAAAGAAGTAATGAAATAGTTATTTCAAAATGTTGTGCAGCATTGTTGCTAACGTGGGTGAGATTTCCTTAGAGCACAGTCGGGGCGGGGGGGGACTGAAACAATTGTTTTATTGGGTTGATTGGGGTAATTAAGTAGGTCATTTAGGCTTTGCAGTCTTCACTGTACCATTTTTAAAAATGGGGTTTAGCCTTATTAGAACTGTTCATTGTAGTATATACTAAAACAGTAAACTTCAAATACTGTTAAAATATGCTGAAGATAAACTGAGGTGGGCTGTTATGCACATGGGTGGATTTGATTTTTTTTTTTCCTTCTTTTTTAGAGTGCTGCTGCTACGGCTGCTACCTTGGCACTCCCTGCAGGTGTGACTCCTGTTCAGCAGATACTAACAAATTCAGGTAATTAGGGGAAACAGGACAATTATTTGTGTAACTCAGAAAATTGCACCATTTAGCCTTTATGGTTTGTCTTTGTTAAAAAATAGAAAATCTTAATATTTCTTTTTTTGGTGTAGGTTATTAAAATAACATTATTTGAGGGCTGTAGCACATTAACTGTAAATCATTGTTGACGATACAGTAGAGAAGGTGAGAATTGTACTTCAGCTTTCGATCCTTGAATGAGAATTTTATTTTTGAAGTATGATTTATGACTATATAGAAATGCTTGTTTACTTAGGTTTTTGCTAAACACATTTAATATACAGAATGAGTTAAACTTGATTCAGTTGAACTAATTTGTGATATCAAACTAAATTCTACAGAATATTAAGAGCAAATTTATTTTACTCTATTATACATAGTAGATCAGCATAGATTGACAAAAAACCAATGTTTACCTGTTGATCTTTGGCATATTTATGTATAGAGAATTTGTTTATGTAGATTTTAAGCATTCTCTCTATAATCTTGATTTTATAGTTTCTTATGTGTCAAGAAAAGCTTACCAGACCAAGCACTGTTTTTGTTAATTTCTCAATTTATGAAGAACAAATTAGGGACTTGTCATGCTACATAATTTACTGAGATATAATTGTTTGCTTTTTAATTAATTCATGATTCTGGGTTATCTAAAGCAACCTATTAGAGAGATTTGGTTCTACACATATAAGCCAGTCATACAGTTAGTGTTATGTGGCAGTGATAATTGGTTCAGCAAACTTTTACTACTTTTAAGTAGTTTTGAAGGTAATGTCTTAGTTGAAGATATTAAATGTACTGTTGTGCTTTCATTTTTTTTAAAGCTTTAAAAATGAAAGTGCCTGAAACTTCTGGTCTTAACTGCTCTCTCATGACTCCTAATGTGCTAGCAAAGATAATTTAAACTTTTAATCAAATTTCATAATCTACAGTTAAACGTTATTGGAAAAGAGCCAAGTATAATAAAGATGGAAAAGAAAACATTTTAAGCAATGTATTTGAACATGGAGGGTAGTCAGGTGAAGGTAAGGATTATAGTTTACTGAGTATGGATAATAGCCCTTCATGAAGTTGTTCAGCTTCTTACTTGATTATTTCTAGGGCCTTTTGGTGGTTTGATATTTGAAATGAATTCAGTTATTTAGAATTATTTTGGAATTGTCACTGCTGAAATGGTAACTGGGAATACATACTTTCTCTTTAGGCCAGCTTCTTCAGGTGGTCAGAGCAGCCAATGGTGCCCAGTATATTTTTCAGCCTCAGCAGTCAGTGGTTCTACAACAGCAGGTTATACCACAAATGCAGCCTGGTGGAGTACAAGCTCCTGTTATACAACAGGTAAAAGAATCCGTGATCACCATGGGGTTCTTATTTGTTCTTTCTGTAGGAACTCCTTGGGTGGTTCCCCTTCCTTTTCCCATGGTTTTATCTACACAAATTCTTAAGTTCTCCAGTGCTACAGACCCGACTGTCCTAAATTCCTCATGTACGCCTCACAGCTTAACACAAATTCAGCATGTTTAAAATTAAATTGTTGTCCCTTCTCATCCTTCATCTTCCCCCTGAACCTGTCTTTCTGTACCACTGTCCATCCAGCGTTCATTCAACAAGATTCAGTGGCTGGCTATGAATCATGGTCTTTGCAAGGGGCTGGGCATTTAGGAGTGAAGAAGGCAGGCACATCCTTAATTTCACAGTGCTTCTGTATTTTCTGGAAGAAGGTGATGTGTAGACCTCCCTCACCTTTACTGCCAGTATCCAAGGTATCGTGAAGTCCAACCAGTTCTTAATAGTTCTTTGTTTTATTTGACATGTTTGCAGTCCCTTAATATGTTTGAAACTAATTTTTTTTCCCTCTATTGTTAGTTCATGATCTCATAATTTCTCACTAAAATACTGTTTTATCTTCCTAACCAATGTCCAAGCTTCTACTCAGGTGCCCCTCCTAACCTGACTGCTACTCTTCATAGAGTCAGCTTTCTAAAAAAATTAACATCTTTTAATAAATTCTTATTGGAAAATGTCTAAACTCCTCAGCATGGTGTATAAGATCTTCTTTAGGATGTTATTTCTTTGAACGTCCCAGGGTTAATTCTTGCCATGTTTCTGAAGTTGTTATCTGCTTCAGTTGTTGTTTAGATCAGAGTTAATACTTGCACCTACTTGTGTGCCAGGTGTTATACTGTTGCACTGTGAGGACAATGATGAAAGAGGAATGGTTATTTTCTTGGGGAGCTTGGTACTTTACAGAGTACTGTGTAATGTCAATATGATGATAAATACAGTGGTAGAGGTAATATCAGAGGAAGGACATTAATCCAGCCTACTTACAGCTTTCCAAAATTATTTGTTGCTCTTCTGGGTTTTCACCTGATGTCATTCTTCTTTTCCGAATGCTGCCTTTGGCCTTCCTTCTAGCAGCTCTCTCCACTCCCTCCAAACAAAACAAGCAAACCAAATAGCCTGGATCTTCTTAAAGCACAAACACAAACTTAAGTATTACCTACTAGGAAGGCTTCTCTGACCACGCCTTGTTCTACAACCTGAATTTGGTACTCTCTCCTGTGTTCTCATAACATCATATCATACTTGTATTACATCTTCTTTTTGAGTTGCAATTCTTTTGTCTGTTGGCTCCATTAATCCATATCTTATTTTCTTAAGGAAAATACTATATCTTGCTGTTTTTGCATTCTTTGATCCTAAAGGCAAGTAATAGGTATTCAGTGCTTTTTATTTATTAATAGTTATAAATATATTAATTCTAGTACATGTAATTAATACTTGTTAGTGCATTAGTGTATAATGGCATGGATGGAATTAATTATTTTTGAGTTGTTGTTTACTTAAGAATCTTAGAATGTAGAAGCTGGAGGGAACTTTAGAAGTCCTTTGATCTGGGAATTCTCAGCTGTAGGTGCATGAAAGAATGAGCTGAAGACCTTTAAGTAAAATGAATAGGTTTCATCTCACATCAGTTAAATTAGAATATTAGAGGTGGGGCCTAGACATATTTTTTTTAAGTTACCAGATGGTTTTAATTTGTAGCCAGGGTCGAGAACCATTGATATAGTCTAACAGTGAAGTGACTAAAGCCAAGAGAGATTAAATGATTTGCTTCTGTTACCATCTGTATCTATGATCTTACTCAAAACTAGAACCTAGGTCTTCAGATTCCCCGTTCAGTGTTCTTCATGTGGATGCAGTGTAGCATGATAGTAAGAGCATGGGCTCTGGAGCCAGAAAGCCAGAGCCTAGGTTCAAATTTTGCCTGTTAGTCACTGTTTGATCTTGGCAAGTTATTAAACCTCTTTGTACCTCAGGCAGATTTATAGCATGTATAACTCTTGGCTTGGTATCGGTCATACACATGGTAAGTGCTCAGTAAATATTATTAGCACTATCTTCAGAAAAACTTTTTTGTTCAGAAATATGAATGGCAAAATGGAAATTTAGTGGGTCAGTACCAAAAACCTGTTGCCATAGGGTTTTCTTGGCTGTAATCTTTACAGAAGCAGATTGCCAGGCCTTTCTTCCACAGCACAGCTAGGTGGGTGTGAACGGCCAGCCTCTAGGTTAGTAGTCAAGTGCAAACCGTTTACACCACCTAACGACCTTAGTGGGTCAGTACACTAGTTAAGCATTGCTTTTGTACTTTGGTAGTTTTAAATATGTATGAGAAATGGCTGCTTCTGGTGATTGTTCAGCATTTGGGCCTATTTCTGTGTACCAAGTAGTGAAACTGAGCTGATTGATCCACTAGTCCCTAACATGTGGTTTTCTTTTGCATTAGGTACTGGCTCCTCTTCCTGGAGGGATTTCACCACAGACAGGTGTCATCATCCAGCCTCAGCAAATCTTATTTACAGGAAATAAGACTCAAGTTATACCTACAACAGTGGCAGCACCTACACCAGCACAAGCACAGATAACGGCAACTGGCCAACAGCAGCCACAGGCCCAGCCTGCTCAACCACAAGCTCCATTGGTGTTACAGGTTGATGGAACGGGGGATACATCATCTGAAGAAGATGAAGACGAGGAAGAAGATTATGATGATGATGAAGAGGAAGACAAAGAGAAAGATGGAGCTGAAGATGGGCAGGTGGAAGAAGTAAGTTTCTAGTAAAAGATTTGACGTGAGAATCTACTCAGTTATTTCCTATTGTAATTGGTGGCAAACTGATGAATTATATCCTGTTTTGGGGGCTTTTGGTGGTGCTATACAACTAAAGATTATAAAGATAAAATTAGATTGCCTTAACTTTAGCAAGACTATTAGATTGTTCTGGCTGTATTTATCTTCAGAAACCATTGAAATCTATTTCACATAGCTGGTAATAAAAAAATGAATAAATAACAATTGTATTTATAAAGTTGGAAACAGTACTAGTAATTGTGTTTCTTTGCCTTATGCATTCATTGCATTCATGGTGTAGCTTAAATGTATTTGGTATTGGTAGAACAGGTGGATGTAGTTAATATTTTGCTTTAATAATTGAAAAGGTATGATAACATATGGGAAGAGAAGAAAATCCGGAAAAGAGCTAAATGTGACATTATTTGAGACCCTCTTTGGTCCGTAATCTGTAGCAATTTCTTAGATAACCTTGTTAGTGTCTTGTCTTCAGTTTAACAACTATCCCTTCTTATTTCTATTTAGTTTTATATTTCTAGAAATATACAAATGTTTTTATTTTTCTTAGTGTTCCAACTTCATTACTTATATCCAAGATACTTGTCCTACCACAATTTTCATTGTCTTCTTCAGCCTAAGATTCAATCTTCTTATTTATTTTAGTATAAGGTTCTTCTAAATTACATAAGTAATCTTTAAGAAAAATAAAAAACATTGTTTTTATTAAATACTGATAAATATGAATAAAATATATTTTGAGATTTGCCTACCAGGTGCCCACCACCTAGTTAAAAGAAAATTACCATTACTTATTAAAGTCCCCTGAGTGCCTCTTCCCAGTCCCATCTTCTTCCCACTCCATGAGAGTAACCATGCTCTTGAATTTGTGTTTATCATTAACTTGCCTTCCTTTTTATTTTGCCATATGTTTCTATTACTAAACAGTATATTGTTTGACATAAATGGAATAATTCTGTATTATTCTGCAAGTTGATTTTATTTCAAGATGGTATTCCTGAAGTTCAAGTTGTTGCGTATAGCTGTAGTTATAATCACTGTTGAATATATCATGATTTTTCTATCTATCCACCTATTTTTTTTTTAATAAGATGGGTTGTTCCTAGTTTGCTGTTAGTTAGAGAATATTCAAGTATGTGTCTTCTAGGGAAGGAGCTCTGGTGGCACATTGGTTAAGTGCTCAGTTGCTAACCGAAAGGTCAGTGGCTTGCACACACCAGCCACTCCACAGGAGAAAGATGTGGCAGTCTGCTTCTGTAGAAACCCTGTGGGGCAGTTGTACTCTGTCCTGTAGGGTCACTGTGAAACTGACTTGATAGCAACGGGTTTGGGTTTGGTTTTGAGTCTTCTAAGGACAGATATGTATGAGGTTTTCTAAGGGCTATACCTAGAAATTGAATTGCTTGATCCTAAGGTATTCACGTCTTTACACTCCTGCCATCTAATACATAATCGTGCAGGTTTCTACACATCCTCGCCGCTGCTTGATGCTATCAGGCTTCTTAACTTTTATCAGTCTGCTAGGTAGAAAATAATGTCTCCCTTTGGTTTTATTTTCCCTAAGTACTGATGAGATTGAGCCTCTTCATTTATTTGTTTGCCACTCGTGTTTTATCGTGTAAAGATGCTTATTCGGGTCTCCTGCCTATTTGTATTCCCTAAATTCTTTATAGTTTTGATGTTACTCAAAGTGATTTTTTAAAAACAGTTTTCCAGTTGTTTGTTGGTAGCATGGAAATGTAGTAGAATTTTTAATATTCAGATTTGAGTCAGCCATCTTCCCGAAGTCTCTTGTTAATTCTAATAATGTATCTGTAGATTCTCTTGTGTTTTCTGTGTAGACAATCATATCACATGTGAAAAAGGGCAGTTTTTCTTACTTTGCTGGCTAAACCTTCCAGCACAATACTGAGTAGAAATGGTGATAGCAAGCATGCTTGTCTTGTTCTTAATCTTAAAAGAAATTCTTTGTATGGTTCACCATTAAGTATAATGTTTGCTGTAGGTTTTCTAAGGATACCCTTTATCAGGAAGGGTATAAGGAACTTCCCTTCTGTTCATAATTAATTTTCTCTTCTATTCATAGTTAACTAAGAGCTTTGCTTTGTTGGGTGTTTTGTTTGTTCGTTTTTTTAGTTTCTGCCTTTTGGTTTTTTTTATTAGATACTAAGAAAGTAGCATGTGCTCACTGTAAAAAAATTCAGACAATATGGAAGTATCTAAAGTAAAAATAAGAGATTCTCCGGTAACCCAAAACAAGAATATTCTTCCTGATGTATCTTTGCTTGTGCAAATGTGTATACACACTCTACACACACACCACAAAATCGTTCACATTCGTGTGATTAGAGACATCTTTCAAAACCAGTACATATAGAATTTTTTTTTTTTTTAATATTTGCTTTGGTAAAATATACATAGTTGGGCAATGGTGGTTCAGTGGTAGAATTCTCGCCTTCCAGCGTTTAATTGTGCTCATGAGGAGCCTGTGCACAGACAAGAGGCAGTCATTCAAACAGAACAAGGGCATACTGTGTGTTTAAAGTAAGGAAAGGTGTGTGTGAGAGTTGTATCCTTTCACCATACTTATTTAGTCTGTATGCTGAGCAAATAATCTGAGAAGCTGGACTATATGAAGAAGAACGGGGACATCAAGATTGGAGGAAGACTCATTAACAACCTGTGTTATGCAGATGACACAACCTTGCTTGCTGAAAGTGAAGAGGACTTGAAGAACTTACTGATGAAGATCAAAGACCACAGCCTTCAGTATGGATTACACTTGAACATAAAGAAACCAAAAATTCTTCCAGCTGGACTAATAAGCAACATCATGATAACCAGAGAAAAGATTGACGTTGTCAAGGTTTCATTTTACTTGGATCCACAATCAATGCCTGTGGAAGCCCCAGTCAAGAAATCAAATGATGCGTTGCATTGGCAAATCTGCTGCAAAAGACCTCTTTAAGGTGTTAAAAACAAAAATGTCACCTTAAGGACTAAGGTGTGCCTAACCCAAGCCATGTGTTCTCAAGTCATCTCATATGCATTGTGAAAGCTGGACAATGAATAAGGAAGACCGAAGAAGAATTGATGCCTTTGGATTATGGGGTTGATGAAGAATATTGAATATACCACGGACTGCCAAAAGAATGAGCAAATCTATCTTGGAAGAAATACAGCCAGAATGCTCCTTAAAAGTGAGGATGGCAAGACTATGTTCCACATACTTTGGACACGTTATCAGGAGGGATCAGTCCCTGGAGACGGACATCATGCTTGGTAAAGTAGAGGGTCAGTGAAAAAGAGGAAGACCTTCAACGAGGTGGATTGACACAGTGGTGCAACAATGGGCTCAAGCATAACTATGATCATGAGGATGGCACAGGACTGGGCAATGTTTCATTCTGTTGTACATAGGGTCGCTATGAGTCGGAACTGACTCGACGGCACCTAACAACAGCAACATGCAGGAATACTGGTTTTGATTCCCAGCCATGTGCACCACTACCTAATTGTCAGTGGAGGCTTGTGTTTTGCTATGATGCAGAACAGGTTTCAGTGGAGCTTCCAGACCAAGATGGACTTGGAGGAAAGGCCTGATGATCTACTTCTAACAATCAGGCAGTGAAAACCCTATGGATTACAACTAGTCCAACCTGCAGCTGATCATGGGGGTGACACAGGACCTGGCAGTGTTTTGTTCTATTTTCCAGGGGGTCACCATGAATCAGGGACCAACTTAACAGTAGCTAAGAAAAACTACATATATACATTTACTTACCATGTTAGCCATTTTTAAGTGTACACTTAAGTAGCATTAATTGTTTTAAAATTATAAATGGATCTTGAATTTTATTAAACACTTTTCTGGCAACTATTAGATAATCATGATTTCTCACTCATAATCTGTTATTAATGATGAATTACATTAATTGATTTTCTAATTGTAAGCCCATCTTGTATTCTTGGATAGCACAACTTAATCATTATGCATAAGCTGAACTGCTAAAGTCACTTTGTTCAGGGTTTTCACATGTGTATTCATGAATGATGCTGCCTATTATTTTCCTTTTTATATTTTTCTTACTAGGTTCTGGTATCAAGTTTATAAAAGTATTATAAAATGGAGAGTGTTCTCTCTACTTTGGAGATATATTTATATATTTTAGTTCTTCTGTGAGTATTTGTTAAAACATGTAGCTAAAATGCCAGGGCCTAGTAGTTTCCTTAAAGAATTGATTCCTCTAATGAGTATATGTCTAGTACCCTGTTTGTTTTTAAGACAGTTTTGGTAAGTTATGTTTTTCTTGGACTCTGTATTTTCGTAAATTTTCAAATTTATTAGCATAAAACTAATCATACTATTACCTTTTTGATAGCAGTATCATTTGTAGCTATTTCCTTTCTTCCTTTTCATTCCTAATATTCTGTTTGTGCCTTCTTGCTCTTTTTTTTCTTGTTCAGTATTGCCAGGGTCATGTTTATTTCATTCATGTTCTCAAAGAATAAACTTTTACCTGTGTTTATTCTCTCTAGTGTGTGTGTTTTCCTATTTTATTTATTTCAATTCTGATTAAACTGCTTTGTTTGTAGAGAATATAATCTATATGATGTGTCTGTCCTCTGAAATCAGTTGAGACTTGCTTTATGTGGTCAGTTTTCTTATATGCTCTGTTTGTATTTGAAAAGAATATATATTCTGCAGTTGTTTGATACTATCTCCTGTAGATGTCTGTTAGATTTAGATTGCCAGTAGGTTTGTTCGGATATCTTATATACTGCTATACACTGATTGATATTTTTTGTGTGCTTGATTGGTCATATATTACTGAGTGGGATATATTCAGATCTTCTACTATGGTGGTGAATTTATTTCTCCTATTTTTCTGTCACTTTGCTTTTTTTATTTTGAGCCTAAAAAAAATGGGTCATGGAAGCTTAAAATACAGTCATGCACCGGATAACATCCGTTTGCAGCGTCCAACTGTGTATACGTCCCGGGTCCCATAAAGTTAATAATAAAGTTTAGAACCGATCAGAGAATGGGAAGTAGCAGACATAACTGGATGTAGTGAGCACAGCAGCTTTCCGCACGTAATGTGTATGTCATGTTTCTTTCCTGTACTACCACGTGTATAATGGCACAGTACATATATAACCTATAACATATGTCTTGATAGCGATAATAAATGTTTTTGTTACTGGCTTATGCACCTACTGTACTTTATATCGTTATCTTAATGTGAAGTTTCCCTACTTACAAATAAAAAGTTGACTGTATAACAGTGTATGCTTCGACCCGTAGGCAGCAGCATCCAATCTTGTGTATCACGTGTCTCTTGAGTGTTGTAGCGTTCTCTCTGTTTAATTTTCTTTCAAAAACATTACTGTGAAGTGTATCATGACTCAAAAACGCAGCAAAACCAGTGCTAGTGATAGCAGCAGCAAGAGGCAAAAGTGAAGTATCGATTTGGAAGTAAAACAAAGGGTATCTCGTGTAGCTTTGCTAAGTATATAACAACATCCAAATCACATAACATCCTGTTTCGCAGGACATACTGTGGACATTAAGCGGCACATGACTATAGTTGTGTTTTTCCAGTGAATTGAACCATTTATGATTACACAGTATCTTGCTTTATCATTAGTAATTTTTTTTGTCTTTTGTTTTGCCATAAAGTCTGTTTCGTGTGATACTAATAGAGCCATACAAGCTTTGTTTTGGCTAGAGTTTGCCATTATGTTGTTGGTTGCCGTGATTCTGACTCACAGTAACCCCATCCGTGCAGAGTAGAACTGTTCCATAGGTTTTTCAAGGCTGTGACCTTTTGGAAGTCGATCACCAGGTCTGTCTTATGAGGTGTCTCTGAGTGGGTTTGAACCACCAATCTTTCAGCTAATAATTGAGTACTTAACCATTTTTTGCCGCTGTGGGACTCCTTGCCTGGTATAACTTTCTTTATTCTTTCAGTCTTTTTGGGTCCTTGAGCTTCAGGTGTTTTTTTTTTTTTTTTTTTTTTTGGTAAATGGAAGACTGCTGCGTATATTGTTCCAAAATTTTTATGTGGGTCGAGATTATCTAATGGGGGAAAGAATCATCTTTTTAACAAATAGTGCTTGGACAACTGGATATTCACATGCAAAAGAATGAAGTTGGACCCTTACCTTACACTATATACAAAAATTAACTCAAAATGTATTAAAGACCAAAATGTAAGAGCTAAAATGATAAAATCTCTTAAAGAAAACATAGGGGTAATCTTCATGACCTTGGATGTGGCATTGGTTTCTTAGCTAATGACACCAAAAGCACAAAGAATTGAGGAAAAAAAAAAAAGATAAATTGGACTACATCAAAATTGAACACTTTTGTGTTTAAAGGACACCTCAAGAAGGTGAACAGACAGCCCATAGAATGGGGGAAAGTATTTGTAAAAATCATGTATCTGATAAGGTGGTAGTATTCAGAATATATAAAGAACTCTTGACAACTTAACAACGAAAAGACAAACAGCCCAACTAAAAAATGGCTGAAGGACTTGAGTAGACATTTTGCCAAAGAAGATATACAGATGGCCATCAAGCCCTGAAAAGGTAGGGAAATGCAAATCAAAACCACAGCAAGATACCACTTCCTACCCACTATGATGAAAATAACAATGAAAGTAAACAATGAAAATAACAAGCGTTGGGAGGATTCTGAGAAATTAGAACTGTCATACACTGCTGGTGGGAATACAAGACAGTGCAGCTGCTGTGGAAAACAGCTTGGTGGTTCCTTTAAAAATTAAGCATAGAATTACCATATGACTCAGCAGTTCTACTCCTAGATATATACAAAAGAGAATTAAAAACAGGTATTCAAGCAAAAAGATGTATGTGAATGTTCATCCAGCCTTATTCACAATAGCCAAAAAGTGGAAACAACCTAAATGTACATCTGATGAACGGACAGATAAGATGTAGTCTATTCATACAATGCGTTATTATTCAGCCATAAAAAATAATGAAGTACTGTTGTATATTATAGCATGAGTAAACATTTACAACATGTTTTCAAAAAGAAAGAAAACATATTAAGTGAAAGAAGCTAGACACAAAAGACTACATGTATGATTCCATTTATATGAAATACCCAGCATAAGTAAATCCACAGAGACAGAAAGCAGATTAGTGGTGGCAGGGGCTAAGGATAGAGAGAAAAGGAGAGTGAATGCTTAGTGGATATGGAGTTTATTTTTGAGGTGAAGAAACTTCTGGAACAAGATAGTGGTGATGATTGTACTACGTTATGAATGTATTGCATGCTACTCAGTTATATGCTTTAACTTGATTAAAATTTATGGTGAATTTTATGTTACGTGAATTTTACCTCAGTGAAAGTTTTTACATTTTACACGGCTGATATCTGTTTTAAATTAAAGAAATATATACGCATACACACTTGTATGTGAATATGTGAATAGGTATAATAAGCCTAGACTTAATATCTTATTTTCCTTTCTATTTTTATTTTGTGGAATAAATTTTTTTAGATTTTTCTCCATTTATTAGAAATCTGAGCTGTATCTTTTGTTTTCTGCCACAGTTAACATCATATTATTAACATAGTTGGTCATTTTATGCTCTAGTTAGATTTTATCTTGACCCTTAATTCTCTTTGGTACTGAGATTATTTATCTCCTTCTTTTTATTTTTAATCTAAATGCTTTAGTAAATCATACCACATGCATCCACCATTACCTTTACAATGGTAAACATACTGATTTGTATTCAGAGTCCTAGTTCTTAATGTAAAAACACAAGCCAGATGCTAGCCCATTTTATAGCCTTTTCTTCTCATTTTTAACATTGCCTTCCCTTTCACGCTGTTCGTGGTACATAATGCCATTATCTCATCACACCACCATATCTCCTTAGGTCTGCTTCTAGGCATCTAATAGTTATTGCAGAGAATTCTTGTGCTGTTCTTAAAGAATGAAGGAAATAAAGTTGAGTATCTTTTCAGACTCAAGTCATATGGCTTACCCATTTTAATCATTGTATTTGATTTTTTGCTGAGATTTTAATAGCATTGCCTAACTCTTAAATTATATAACTAATAAACAATATGATGTTCATGGTACATATATGCATTTGTCACTTGGTTATTCTCAAAGGTCATCATGGTTTTTTATTGAATATTAGGGACTAGGGACTTTTGGTAGTAAGGTATGAGGTATGAATAAATAAGCTCTTTTTTATTTGTAGGAGCCTCTCAATAGTGAAGATGACGTGAGTGATGAGGAAGGACAGGAGCTCTTTGATACAGAAAATGTTGTTGTATGCCAGTATGATAAGGTAAGAATTTCATCATTAGATTACTAGCGTTTTCATCATTAGATTACTAACATTATTTCTGTTGTAATTTCCCCCCTAAACCATCCTGCTGCTTTGTTCAGACATTTGGGCAGTTAATTGATACCTCTCATTCACGGTAAACAATGTGAATAAAAACTTTGTTAATAGTTTAGTAGATTATTTTAATAGAATGAAAAAATTAATTGTGTAGCTGTACGTTTGAAAAATAAGTTACAAATGAAATTGGGAAGAGGCTTTTTAAAAAATTTACACTATGCTGTTCAGTTTGTCACCTTGGATTATTGTAAACAAAACCATTTGGGGCTTGTTGTTGGATAGTAACAACTAACTTGGTGGGAGAACCCTGTTTTCCATTTAGCATGGACTATCTCAAAGCTAGGAGTCCCTGCGTGGTGCAGACTGTTAATGCACTCAGCTGCTAACTGAAAGGTTGGAGGTTTGATTCCACCCAGAGTTGCCTAGGAAGAAAGGCCTGTGGAGCAGGTGTGGACGATCAGTTAAATTTGGGACATGTTAAGTTTGGTATGTCTATTAGACATTCAGGTCATTCATCTTAAGATGTTAAATTTAGTGTCTGTTATCTGTATAGTGCATTTAGACCATAGCTATAAGACCACTTAATTTAAGAGCTTCTGTACTTCTTACTGTTAATAAGTTTATTGTGCTCTGTATTGGAGCCCTGGCGACGCAGTGGTTAAGAGTTCAGCTGCCAACCAAAAGGTTGGCACTTTGAATCCACCAGCTGCTCCTTGGAAACCCTATGGGGTGGTTCTGCTCTGTCCTGTATGGTCGCTTTGAGTCGTAATTAACTTGACAGCAGTGGGTTTGGTTTTGTTTTGGTGTTCTATATTGTTTTAAGAAGTAAGGAAAATTTGATGAATGTTAAATGTGTTTATAGCTTAAGACAGTGATTTTAGAGGAAGGGCATGAGAGTGGGTTTTAAGTATGTAAAGGGTTGTCTTTTTTTTTTTTTTTTTTTTAAGAAGTCCTAAAAGACAGAGCTAGGATCTATAAGGGGAAGTTTAGGCAGATTTAAGTAAGGGATAAAGTAGGAAAGACTTGTAAGAAGAGCTCTCCCAGAAAGAGCTCTCCCAGAAAGGAATAACTTAATTTGAAATACTTTGCCACCCCCCCCCCCATAATCAAGCAGAACAACCATTCGCTAAGATTACACCATAGAGAATTTTTGCACTGGGAGGTTGTTTCTGTTAGTTGCCATCAAGAGGATTCTGACTCTTCAACTCATGATGACCTTAGATGTAAAAGAACAAAACGTCGCCCATCCTGCACCATCTTCGTGATTGTTGACATGTTCAAATCCATTGTTGTAGCTATTTTGTTAATCTATCTTATTGAGGATTTCCCTCATTTTCATTGGCTTTTTACCAAACATGATGTCTTTTTCTAATGATTGGCCTTTCCCTGTGATGTGTCCATAGTAAGCAAGATGAAGTCTAACCATCCTTGTTTCTAAGGAGCAATCTGGTTGTATTTCTTCTAAGACTAATTTGTTCATTCTTTTGGCAGTCTGCCATATATTCAGTATTTGCCAACACTGCAGTTTCAGTGGTCGATTCTTCTGTCTTCCTTTTTCTCTACTCAACTTTTGCATGCATATGAGAGGATGGAAAAGATCATGCTTTGGTCAGACACACTTTAGTCATCAAGGGTGGTATCCTTACTTTTTAACACCTTTAAAGAGGTCTTTTGCAATAGATTTTCCCAATACAGTACATCGTTTGGTTTCTTGACAGTTGCTTCCATGGGCGTTGATTGTGGATCCAAGTAGAATGAAATCCTTCGCAACTTCAATTTCTTCTCTGTTTATCATGATACTGTGTGTATTGGTCCAGTTATGAGGATTTTCATTTTCTTCCATGTTTAGGTGTAATCCGTACTGAAGGCTTTAGTCTTGACCTTCATTAGTAAGTGCTTCGTGTTGCTTTCATTTTTGGCAAGCCAGGTTGTGTCATCTGCATATCTGCATACAGGTTGTTAATGAGTCTTCCTCCAGTCCTGATGCCATATTCTTTATATAGTCCACCTTCTTGAACTATTTGTTGAGCATACAGATTGAATAAGTGAGATGAGAGGATACAACCCTGCTGTGCATCTTTTTCAGTTTTGAACCATGCGGTATCCCCTTGTTCTTTTCAGATGACTGCCTCTTGTTCTTTATGAGCACAATTAGGTGTTCTGAAATTCCTGTTCTTTGCAGTGTTATCCATAATTTGTTAAACGATCCACACAGTTGAATGCGTTTGCGTAATTGATAAAACACAGGTAAATACCTTTCTGGTATTCCTTGCTTTCAGCCAAGATCCATCTGACATCAGCAGTGATATCCCTCCATTCCACATCCTCATCTGAACCTGGCTTGAACTTCTGGCATTTAGTTCCCCGTCAGTGTATGGCTATAGTTTATGAATTATCTTCAGCAGAATTTTGCTCGCATGTGACATTAATGGTATTGTTTGATAATTTCTGCATTCTGTTCAGTCACCTTTCTTTGGAATGGGTGTGAGTGTGAATCTCTTTTAGTCAGTTGGCCAGGTACCTGTCTTCCAAATTTCTTGACATAGATGAGTACGTGCTTTCAGCATTCTATCTGTTTATTGAAGCGTCTCAGTTGGTGTTCTGTCAATTCTTGGAGTCTTATTTTTTGTCAGTGCCTTCAGTATACTGTATCTTGAATTTCTTCCGTTAGTATCCGCTGTTCTTGTTCATATCCTGTCTCGTAAAATGACTGAACGTTGACTAGATGTTTTGGTACAGTAACTCTGTATATATTATTTCCATCTTCCTTTGGAGCTTCCTGCATCATTCAGTGTTTTACCCATTTAACTCTTCAGTATTGCACTTCAAGGCTTGACTTTTCAGTTCTTTCAGCTTGAGAAACTCCTATCGTGTTCTTCCTTTTTTATTTTCTAACTCCAGGCCTTTGCATATTTCATCATAATACTTTACCTTGTCTTCGAAGCCGCCCTCTGAAACCTTTTACTTCATCAGTTCTTCTGTTCACTTTAGCTCTACTGTACTTAAGAGCAAGTTTCAGGGCTTCTTCTGACTTCATTTTGGTCTTTTACTTTTTTCCTGTCTTTTAATAGTCTTTCACTTTTTCTTCATGGATGATGTCCTTAATGTCTTCCCACAGTTCTGGTTTTTGGTTATGAGTGTTCAGTGCATTGACTCTGTTCTTGAGATGGTCTCTAAATTCAGGTGAGATTTATTCAAGGTCATACTTTGCTCCTTGTGGACTTGCTTGGATTTTCTTCAGCTTCAGCTTGAACTTGCACATGAGCAGTTGATTATCTGTTCCACCTTTGGTCCCTGGCTTTGTCTTGACTAATGGTATTGAGCTTCTCCATCATCTCTTTCCCCAAATATAGTTGATTTGATTTTTGTGTAGTCCATCCACTGAGGCCCATGTGTATAATCGTTGGTTATGTTGTTGAAAAAACCTTATGGATCAAAACTGGAAGGTTAGACCATGGATTTTTAGGAATGGTATCTCAACTTCTGTATCATTATATGAAACAAACCAATTTAGTAGAAAGTGTATTGAACCAGAACTTGAGAATCGTCTTTGTCACTTATAGACCTTGATGAGGTCTTAGTCATCTCGTGCTGCTATAACAGAAACACCACAAGTGGATGGTTTTAATGAAGAGAAGTTTATTTCCTTAAAGTAGGCTAAAAGTCCAAATTCAGGGTGTCAGTTCCAGGGGAAGGCTTTCTCTCTCTCGGCCTTCTCATCAATGTTCCCCCAGACTAGGAGCTTCTCCACGCAGGGACCCCGGTCCAAAGGACGTGCTCTGCTCCTGGCACTGCTTTCTTGATGGTATGAGGTCCCCCTGTCTCACTGCTCACTTCTGTCTTTTATATCTCAAGAGATTGCCTCAGGATACAATCCAGTCTTGTAGATCAGGTCCTGCCTTACTAACACAACTGCCACCCATCCTCCCTCATTAACATCATAGAGGCAGGTTTACAACAGACAGGAAAATCACACAGTAACAGGAATCATGGCCTAGCCAAATTGATACACACATTTTTTGGGGGACATAATTCAAACCATGACAAAGTCGTTGAATCTTTTGAGGGTATAATTTCGTTTTTTGAAGATGAATGCCTGATTAGCTTTCTTTTTGACGTCATTTAGACCACAGAGCCCTGGTGGCACAATGGCTAAGTGTTCGGCTGCTAACCAGAAGGTTAGCATTTTGAATCCACCAGCCGCTTCTTGGAAACCCTATGGGGCAGTTCTGCTCTGTACTGTAGGGTCACTGTGAGTTGGAATTGACTCGACGGCAACGGAGTTTTTTTTTTCTTTTCTTTTTTTGGTTTGAGACCACAGAAGAGGGAACCTTTGCAGAAGTGGAGCTTGAACTGTGCATTGAATAATGAGTAGCATTTACTGGGAAAAGGAAGGAAGGTCATTTCAGTTGATTTATAGCCCCTCTTCTTGGGAAATTCATGAAATTGCAAACAACTGAAAACTACAATTGAAGGCAAGGATGGGAGTGCCCAAAACCTGACCCAGTTTGAACCCTGCCCTTCTTCCTGTGGTTTAACTGTGGATGTCTGTAGTTTTTGAAATCTACTACTGAAAGTATCTGGATGATCAGCATTCCTGAAGAAGTACTTATTAAATGCTTGCCATGCATAAGGTTCCATGTTTAGTCTGTGAGCACTATTAGTTAATTTTGGTAGAAGAAATCAGTCTGTAATTGTATATATTTACAAGTGATACAAGAGGTGCCGCTGAGAATGCCATAAGGAATTTAGCAATGGGGAAGAATAGTTTTAGGGAAGGCTTTGTGAAAGAGGCAGTATTTTTGAGGTAGGTCTTGAAAATAGGGATTGAGTGTGGGGATTGAATTTGCAAAAATGGGAACAAGAGTTGATACTTCTTTTGATTGAATTATAGTTTTTAAGGGTGATAGAGGTAGGAAGTTAGATTGGAAAGGTGAGCTATTATTATCAGGTCATTAGCAAGCAGAAGTGATACGTTAGTATTGTGCTGTTACAGTGATGCTTATAAGATGAATGGTAGGAAGCAGAGGCTGAAGGCCTGGGAATCAGGTAGAAGTTCGTTGCAATAAATCAGATGAGAAGAGGCCATAGAAGATTATTGGTGGCCTTTGAGAAATCAGTTCGAAGGTCATCCTGAAGACAACTAAAGTGCAATGGAGATAAAATAGAGATGAGAAGTACTGCTAATAATAGAAATACTTGCACTGTGAGGCCCGCTGTATTAGAAGGATCAGTAATGTGGAATCTGTTATGCTGACAGTTACATGTGGAGAAGAGAAAGATAACAGTTGTAAACATGATGCCAGTATTGAGGAAAGCTCGCAGTGTCCTGGTGATCAGTAAATAAAAGCAATGAAGTAACACCTAAGAATAAGTAAATGGTATAGACTTAAAAGGAGTTACTGAGTAAAGGCAAAACAGTGATCTAGACGCATCAGGAGGAACAGGGAGTATTTCTGTTTTAAGTGTTTGCCAGCATAAAATTTCCTGTGACAAAGGGCAATGTGTATATGCAAACCCGTTAGAGATAAAGATATTTTTTAGAGAATTGTCATTAACTGTAGGGTCGTTATGAGTCGGAATCGACTCAGCGGCAACGAGTTTCGTTTTGGTTATTAGGTTATCAATGAACAAAAGTACTAAGAGCTGTAAACTAATACTAACTGTAGATACGTTTACTTTGTCTTTCTTTAAGTGTATCATTTTGGTTTTTGTTGTTTTTTACTATGTTTTCTCTGTCCTGATTGTATCTTTCATATTCTTTTTAATTTTCTGGCTTTTTGTTTACTTAGATACACAGAAGTAAAAACAAATGGAAATTTCATCTCAAGGATGGCATTATGAATCTTAATGGAAGAGATTATATATTTTCCAAAGCCATTGGAGATGCTGAATGGTGAAGAGTTACTTTTTTTCTTTTATAAATAAAACAGAACAAACTTAAAATTGAAGTGGACAGTTTGAAACTTGGAACATACACCAACCAAAACTTAACTTCTGCATGTCAGAAAAGTGCAGTAGAAGCAAAGCTACTGGAACAAAGATAGACTTCGACAACACAGACACTACTTGTAACTGGCAAGCCATGGAACTGTAGCACCTGGGATTGTTGGGAGGGGAAGGGGCTAGGGTTTTGTGTAGGAAAACCATAATTGTCAATTTTAAATACAGGTACCTGCTACCAGTAATTAGCATGTAAAGCTTTGTCTATATTCCTTCCTCCAGCTTGGGTTAAATCAGAAGATACTTGTTAGAATGAACTGAAGAAACTTCCCTTTTGATAGTTTGAATTGAAACTGCTTATTGTGTGTGGTTATATTTGGTAAAAATTTTGTGTGAGCTTTTTACAGAAGGGTAAGAATTACGGTGTTGAATTTTAATTCACTTGTATAAGGAAATAATTTAAAACTCTCATTATAGATCTTAAATATTTTTACTTGGCTATTCTCCCTCAGTAATATATACCTCTTCCTTTGCTGCTTTATGAAACATCTACTCAAGAATTAAAGGAAGTAGTCAGTGATCACATTTAGCTTGGAGACAACATTTGACCCAGAAGTGTATATTTATTTTATTTAGGTTTTCATACATATTAAATATAATTTAAAGACTTGGGTCTTGCCTGAGTTGAGTGGAATTAAAATAACAGCTTTAATTTCCTCATCAAAAAACTGTATTTGTTTCTTATAGTCTCACATCTTTAAAAGCCCCAAATTGGCTCCTCAGGAATACAGTTTCATTTCACAAAGGTACCATCTAACTGAAATTGTGTTCAAGTAAGTATATGTAGATTTTTCCTTTTGGGCTGAAGTGTATGCTTATATATGTTTAGTCTTTAAGCAAAACAAAATTCAGATAGTAGTCTGTGTGTTGATTGAAGCCTAGGGCAGGTGGTAAGGACCTGGATTTTTATTAAACAGTTTAGCAATTGTAATAGTTTCTTGTGTTTACTAGTAAAGAATGGAAAACCTATTCTAAATGAACAAATTTTTAAAACAACTTTGTAATTCGAGGGAAAATTTTGAGGGGTAGAAGGGAGTAGGCCACTAAATACAAATTTACCTCTATTTCATTTGGTGGCCCTTCCAGGCCTTTGATAGTATAGACATGGGCTCCAGTTTGCACATTAGGAAGAACGCAAAGAAATTTGATTTGTATATGAAAAATAGAAATTTAATATGTATATTAAGAATAGCATAGCTCTGTATTCTGTGAGGCGCTCTAAAGAACAATATGGCACTGCTGTGTTCATTGTGAACTAGCTGCCTGGGAGAACTGCAGAACACTTGTGTTCACCTTTGTGTTCTTATAACTCATTCAACATTTTATGGTTTATATTAACAAAATTCTTATTTTAAGTTGCTTGTATATATATATTTTTTTGGTCTTCCATTTACTTTGTGTGTTACCAGAAGTAACACACAAACACTTTAAAGTACATTGCAAAGAAGAAAACTGTGATCTATTATATAGTGTCTTTTCTTTTTAACACAAATGTTTAAACTTCTCAGAAAGGCTAATCAATTTTTTACCTACTTCCCACCCTGCTTGCCAACTTTGTCCCTTTAACTTATGTTCTGAACTTTGGTGTAAATGGTGCGTTCTGGGATGCTAGTAGTTTGATTTTATTTAGATGCCATGACTGGGAATACGGTTTTTATTTTACTGTATTAGTGTTTTTGGAGATTTGTTTACCTCCCTACTCCTCTCAGAGCACACACTGTTTTTAATTAATGAGCCTGGGAGGAGGAAGAAGCAGAGAAAGGAGGGGTTGAAATCATAGAACTCCTGTTGTTCAGTTGTCCTTCAGTAAAGTTGCTAGTAGGTTTATATTTACCCGATGAAGAAGTCAGTGACCTGAACTACCTATAAAAGTTTAGCGGTGCTGCAGTGTTGAATAAATGAAAACTTTTGGCCGTCCAGTAGCTCTTATGCTACTGAAACTTGGATTACTGTATAATATTTAGCTCATGTCTTGGGCCCTCTATGTAGACAAACATTTGTATTCATAGTAGCATTGTATACTGCCCTGTTTTTATAACTTTTTTTTTTTCCCCCAAACATGAACAGCCACTGCTTTCAGAACGACTCACTATGGTTATTTTGAAGCAGAAAATAACCATTTGTATTTGCACCTGTGTATTGCATATTAATATGGCATGCTTGGCAAAATTTTCTTTTACCTGTGAAAATTCTGAAAGCCAGTCCAAACAACACTGCATACCAAATTGTGCTCTTATATATATTACTGCATTGTATTTCTTTTTAATCAAACAGCATGTTTTTGTTTTATTATAATGGCTTGCTGTAAGAATGTCACTTATCTTTTATTGTACTTGAATTCTTAATCATGCTTTTAACATTGTATTTAACAAATCATTTCATTGGGTTCCATAAAAATGTCGTTCCTTTGAAAAGGCAAGGGATTCCCACTTTCAGAGTTTTAAAATGAAAGTAATGTGTTTATGCAAAGGGTAGTGGTGGGGGATAATTCAGACGTGGTATTATGGAATGAGTAAAGTTTTCGGAAAAGGATATGTTTGGATTTGCACAAATGGAGATGGCATCTTAAAGAAAACAAAACAAAAACAGATTAACATTAATCAACAGTGTGAAGGAAAATTTACAAAAATTATTAAAGTGAAAATGTGTGCCTTTCAGTATACATACTCTTGCTTGGTGGTCATTTGGATAAGCAGACCACTTGAATGCCTGCGAGCACATTTAATTTCTGCGGAGTGCCACATATGGCTAAAAACAACTCTTTGCTGTGCAATTAGTTTCTAGAGTAGAATGTCTGTTATATGAGGGGCGTCTTTATATTGGGCTTTTATATTTTTTAAACGTTCACATTTCTTTCTGTTAATTAAATGCCATCATAATATCACATTTACATTGTTGCCTCTTTAAAATCAAAGCCACCTTGATGTTATTCTTCTAGGAATACATCAAGATTTGAGCAGTGTGTATAGTGATTAAACTGTGTTCTTGAAGAACATATTTCTAATAGATTCTGGTTTTAAAAAACGATCATAAAAATATAATAGCTTTTGTATAAAGATTTTCTTTTGCTAGTGAAAATCAAGGATTTGGTTTTCTGTTTTCCCTGACTTTATGGGGGAATGAAAAGGGTTGTCTCTCTCTAAGAGTAATTTTTGATTATCTCATAGCAATAATGTCACCATTCTTTTCAGAGGGGAAATACACCTTGTACCGGAAAACAGACAAAATTTTCTCTTGGGACTTCCCTTTATAATTTAGCATTTTCTTCCACTTGAGAAAATTCCTGTATTTTCAGATTATTTCACCTTTAACTTTTTTGAGCTTTTGTGCAATGTAATGATTTATTGATCTGTGTTTGTATGTTTTCATTTTATTTCATATGTTTGTTTCCCTGGCTGAATCAGCTATTTCAGATTTTAAACTCATTGGTTAAAAAAAGTTGTTTTATATATTTCCTTCATGGGTTTATGTTAAATAGTTTTGCGTTTTAATCCACTATTATGCTATGAAAATTATTTGGAAGTTTATATTCTTCCCTTTGTAAGCCTGCCTTAGTCTACTTTTGTCATTTTCTATGGTTTAAGGAAGAACACACCAAACTTAAATTTTTTCGTTTGTTTTGAGGAACAAAAGTATTTTTTTCTTCTCAAGGGAAGAACTACATGGAGTTCATAACTACTCTTGTTTTCACCTTCCCTTAAATCAGTCCAGTATGCATCAGGGCTGTAATTTTGGGGGAGGGGCTAATCTTACTTTTGCTGTTCTGAGCTACTATTGTCAACTGCTGTTGTACATACTGTTATGTGTAAGGGCGTAAATATATTTATTATGTTTGTAAAATACATTCTGCACAATTGCAGATCAAAGTTGCTCTTCTGTGATTTACAGGATATTATGTTTTAAAGACCATCCTTGGAATACAATTAGAGAACTTAGTATTTTGATGTACTAAGACCTATTTTAAGTTTAATATTTTACCTTTGCAAAAACTTTAATTAAAGATGTTATTTAAAAAAAGTAATGTTGCTTGCTTTGCTTACTAGTGTATCACATTGTTATATAGATAATTGAATGATACACAGTTTAGAAAGGGAAATGATGTACATTGTTAATGATAGTGAGTTCCATTATCAAAGTTAAGAGTATCGTTAAATTCTATACGTTTAAGATAAATAGGGTGGGATGCCTGTCTGACTTATTAAACTGTGTTTATAAAGTCTTAACTAGCTTTTTAAAAAGAACGGTATTTTCCAGGGCACACAGTAATTTAAACTGGGCTAAATTTACACCAACAAAGTGTAACTATTAATTGATGTAATTAACAATTAACAACAATTATGTTAATTGAGTATTTCTACTCCAGAGAATAGGTTACTTAGGATGAAGTTATTCGACCTTATTGTTTTCTTATTTTACTGTTCAGCTAAATCTTTCCCTCTTCTTAGTTCAGAGTTTGTAAATAATTGCTTATTAGGAGAATTGGATAATTGAGATTTGTATTACATATTGAATATATTTTGTGTTATTTTAGAAGGTACTAAATAAGTAGCAGGTATTTTAATTTTATAATCAATTCAAATGAATCATTAAGAGAAAGCTTGCCGTTTTTGTAATTTTTTATCCTATTACAGACTACTTAGGAAACATGCAAATTTTAACTATTAAAACAATCATAATAAAGCTATTTTACTTATTGCCAGAAACTCTTGTATTTTTGTAGTTTAATTCAAGCTCCTACATTGCTGATGATCTTAACCTTTTTGGGCTGTTTCTCCCATCTGTAAAATGACAAAAGCGTTTTGAGAATTAAATGAAATAATACATGTAAAGCTCTTAAAATGGTTCGTGGTATATGGTAAGCACTCAGATGTCATAATTAAATTATTTGCATAACTCAAAATGACTAGTGGAGCCGAACATTTTTTAAATTGTCGAAAATAGTCAAAGAACTTGTCTTGATTGAGGAGAGGTAGTGAAAGGTTTGGTTACAACCAAATTACACCTAGAAGGTTGAGTTAACCAAAAAATCCCAAACCGTTGCTGTCAAGTCGCATCTGACTGTATATCTGGCTGTAGGGTTGTTGTGAGTTGGAATCAACTCAGCGGCAACAAGTTTATACCAGAATGTGCCTGAGGAAAGAATAGTGAATGGTGGATATAGAAGAGGAATAACAAAGCAATGAGAAGGCTAAGTAAAAATTTCCTGAATTATTGGTCTAAATTAGGCTGAATTTTCCCAAAGCTCAAACTATAGTACGACTATAATAATTTTTAAATTAAATGCTTTTCCCAAGTATCTAGATTCTGCTCAGTTCATTTATGGAGGGAAAAAACACTGATGGTAAGAGGTGAAGCTATAGGTGCCTCACATTGATTCTGACCTGACTCCCTCTATTATTGCTTGTTGGCAGCCCAATTTCTGGAGGCAAATGGCTTTTTTTGTCAACCCTCCCACCCTCCAGCCCAGGAGGAGGAGGTGAATCATTACTTTTATTTCTGTTTTGAAATACAATTTTTCTTAATTTGAGAATTTGAGCATAGAGCATGTATTAACTCATTTATTCAACTCACTCCATTTAGTGATCTCCTATGTTCCAGGAATTGTAATCAGTACTGTTGGTGGGCCCAGAGATGAGTAAGACAGTTAACTGCCTTTCTTCCATCCCTAGTGTGGATTGGATTACTAACACTGTGACCTTGGGCATGTTACCAAACCTGACTACCTTACAGGGTTATGGTGAAAATTGAATGAGATAATGCATACGTTGGCTTTAGCGCAGTCCTTGGCACATGATAACTGCTCAATAAATGTATATTGTTAGGTGCCGTCATTGGTTCTGACTCTTGGCAACCCTACATACAACAGAATGAAACACTGCCCAGTCCTGCGCCATCCTAACAATCGTTAGGCTTGAGTCTGTTGTTGCAGCCAGTATGTCATTCCATCTCGTTCATCTTACTCTTTTTCACTGACCCTCTACTAAGCATGATGTCCTTCTCCAGGGACTTATCCCTCCTGATAACATGTCCAAAGTATGTGAGATGTAATCTCACCATCCTTGCCTCTAAGGAGCATTCTGGTTGTACTTCTTCCAAAACAGATTTGTTCGTTCTTTTGGCAGTCCATGGTATATTCAGTATTCTTCGCCGATGGCACAATTCAAGGCATCAGTTCCTTGGTCTTCCTTAATCATCGTTCAGCTTTCACATGCATGTGACGCGATTGAAAACACCATGGCTTGGGTCAGGTGCACTTTAGTCTTCAAGGTGACATCTTCGCTTTTCAACACTTTAAAGAGGTCTTTTGCAGCAGATTTGCCCAATGCAATGAGTCTCTTGATTTCTTGACTGCTGCTTCCATAGGCGTTGATTGTGGATCCGAGTAAAATGAAATCCTTGACGTCAGTCTTTTCTCCGTTTATCATGATGTTGCTGGAAGTGTAATCCATACTGAAGGCTGTGGTCTTTGATCTTCATCAGTAAGTACTTCAAGTCCTCTTCACTTTCAGCAAGCAAGGTTGTTAATGAGTCTTCCTCCAATCTCGATGCCCCGTTCTTCTTTATATAGTCCAGTTTCTCGGATTATTTGCTCAGCATACAGATTGAATAGATACGGTGAAAGGACACAACCCTGAATCACACCTTTCCTGACTTTATGCAGTATCCCTTGTTCTGTTCAAATGACTGCCTCTTGATCTATGTGTTGGTTCCTCATGAGCACAATTACATGTTCTGGAATTCCCATTTTCTGCAGTGTTATCCATAATTTGTTATGCTCCACACAGTCAAATGCCTTTGCATAGTCAATAAAACACATGTAAACATCTTTCTGGTATTCTCTGCTTTCAGCCAGGATCCGTCTGACATCCTCTTCTGAATCCTGCTTGAACTTCTGGCAGTTCCCTGTTGTACTGTTGCAGCTGCTTTTGAATGATCTTCAGCAAAATTTTACTTGCGTGTGACATTAGTGATATTGTTCAATTATTTCCGCATTCGATTGGATGACCTTTCTCGGCAATAGGCATAAATATGGATCTCTTCCAGTTGATTGGCCAGATAGCTGTCATCCAAAGTCTTGGCATAGAGGAGTGAGCACTTCCAGCGCTGCATCTGTTTGTTGAAACATCTCAATTGGTATTCCGTCAATTCCTGGAACCTTATTTTTCACCAGTGCCTTCAGTGCAGCTTGGACTTCTTCTTCCTTCAGTATCATTAGTTCCCTTATCATATGCTACCTCCTGAAATGGTTGAATGTCGACCAATTCTTTTTGATTTATAGTGACTCTCTATTTCTTCCATCTTCTTTTGATACTTCCTGCGTTGTTTAATATTTTTTTTGTAGAATCCTTCAGTATTGGAACTTGAGACTTGAAATTTTTCTCAATGACTTCCTCATTGCAAATACCTTTTTTCACCAACATGAACGGCGAGTATACATGTGGACCTCACCAGATGGAATACACAGGAATCAAATCAACTACATCTGTGGAAAGAGATGATGGAAAATCTCTATCAGAACAAGGTCAGGGGCTGACTGTGGAACAGACCATTAGTTGCTCATATGCACGTTCAAGTTGAAACTGAAGAATATTAAAACAAGTCCATGAGAGCTAAAGTATGACTTTTAGTGTATCCCACCTGACTTTAGAGACCATCTTGAGAATAGATTTGACATGATGAACACTAATGACCGAAGACCAGATAAGTTGTGAAATGACATCAAGGACATCATACTGAAGAAAGCAAGAGATCATTGAAAAGAAAGAGAAGACCAAAACGAATGTCAGAAGAGACTCTGAAACTTGCTCTTGAATGTCGAGTGGCTTAAGCAAAAGGAAAAATGATGAAATAAAAGAGCTGTACAGAAGATTTCAAAGGGTGGCTTGAGAAGACAAAGTAAAGTATTGCAATGACATGTGCAAAGACCTGGAGACAGAAAACCAAAAGAACACACTTGGTATTTCAATAAATGTATATATACCCATATATTTTAGTCGGGAATAATGGTCACAGAAAAGATCTTAGGTTGTTTTTCTAGATTAATCATGAGTTTTCCTCACCTTCCTGTCTTAATAGAAACAGGTTCATGGCCTTTGATGCCTCTACAGATTTAAGTAAGGGATCAGAGAAGTTAATGATAGTAATTCGCACTGAGTTTTTCAATGAAGATACATTCTGGAAGCTTAATTGTAGTTGTGGACTTCACACTGGAAATGAATTTTGTTTTCTTGAATCAAGAATGTCCTGAATCCTCACTTACCTTCAGACTTCACCTTTGTAAAGCTTGTTGAGTTGATATGATACCAGTTAGTTTCCTACTGACCACTTTTGAAATATTCCACCATCTCAAACACAATGTGACAAAAATAAGAATTCATTCCTATCCCCATTTCCTCATCCCTAAACCTCATGTCTCAATGACTACTAGTACTACTTTCCCAGTCACTGGGATTTGAAGCTTAGTGTCATCTAATCCTGTTTCTTCCCTAAATTTAGTAAACAACTCCACTGTCTACCAGAAGCTCAAACCAAAACCCAGGAGTCATCCCTGATGCCCTTCATCATCATTTTACCACATGCAGTGAATGTGTCAGCAAATTTTGCTGGTTTTACCATCAATGTATATCTTGATTCTGACACAGAAAATAGTTTATGAAAAAGAAACGCAAATGGAAAATAAATTGACCCTTTTAGTAATTAATGTAAAATAGTACTTTTTTTCACTTATCAAATTATAAAGATTGATAATACCGTGTTATGATAAGAGTGTGGGTAAATGAACCTTCTGATATGTTGCTGGTGAGAGTGTAAATTGGTACAATCTTTCTGGTAGAGGAAACGAGGCACAAATCCCGTGAGTTAGGGAAAGAGGATGGTGTGCACAGGGTACTGTCAAAGAGAAAAATTAATAACATGTCTTCTTTGATTTTAAGGTTTTCTTACCCAGGAAACTAAATATTCACTGTAAAGAAATTCCTAATGTAGAATAAAAACATCACAAAGTTTAGTAACGCAAA